AATTTAAAATTTTATACATAATTATTAGCCTTGTTGACATATTATCACTAATCAATTCTCCTACGAGTTCGTTTAATTTTTTAACTCCCTCTTGTGGTTGGTTTGAAGATTCTCACGTCTCCACATTGACTTATTATGAGAACTTGATTTTATTCAACTAATCTAGTGAATTTTTTATTTATATTATATTAACAGTTTCTTTTCCTTTACACTTATGCAAAAGGTTTCTTTATTAATGAAACATGAAAAGCTTTAGTCTATGGAGCACAAACAAAAAGTCTTTCATGTCTGTGTAGAACACGGACACCTCTTACATGTCTTTACATGTATTCCATGCACTGAAAATCATGTCTTATATTATTTATTTTTTTATTTTAGAATTAGTCAAGATCAAGGACACACTCTGACATGGTCGGGATACATGATGATGATGAAGTGTGTTTTATGAATAAATTTAGTAAACTATATTTTTTATCATTGATGGCAAAGGTTTTATTGAAGAGGACATTGGTGTTAGTGACGAATGTGATCAGTGAAAGCTGTATCTCCCTGCATTACTCAAAAGATACCAATAGAGAGGGTGATTCATTTGGGGATTCATGTGGGGAGAAAATAAGCTTGGAGGAGGATATTGTTGGTAAGGTAATTGTGATATGTCCAGCTATGATACAATTACACGGTTAGGGGGGGAGGTTGTCCATTGAGAGAGCTTTAAGCTAAAACCTAGATACATCACGGTTGTTGCCTATGTGCTTTATATGAGAGGGAATGAATGTTTGCCTCATTAGGTGATTAAATTTACTGTAATTTACATTTATTTAATTTATCCTATTTGATATTTATAGCCTTTACCTTGTTACGTTAATACTAGAAGGTGTATATGTTGTGATATCCAAAAAGATGGATACTTATCTTCTAGCAGTGTTTGAAACTAAGCAGGAGTGGCAAGTCTTTGGATTAATGTATAAGCATTTTGATGTACTATCAAATTGTGTTGTATGTTGTAGATGGGATGATTTTGAAGCTTACTTGGGTTAGCCTAGAGCTTTTTTTACACGTGCATTGAGGATTTTGTGAGATTACTTCCTATTGAAACTTATTGTAAGAATATTTTGAGACAATCAATGCTTGAGATGGCTATGATGGTTGTGATACTTGAGATAATTGACTTAGATAGCTAAGATAAGCCGACTAAAATGATCAAGATAAGCCAATTGAGATGATCGAGAGGACCAATAGAATGAAATTTCAGAGAACGGACAAAGATAGCCCTTTGAGAAAGAGCTGAGATAGCCGATTGAGATAACCAAGAGAATCGATAGACTAAAATGACTCAGAGAACTAGCCGAGATACCTTGTCGAGAGAGAGTTGAGATAGCCGACTAAGATGATTGAGAGAAGTAGTTGAGATAACATGAAGGATCTCTTCTTAGAGGAATGAAGATTATTGAAAGGGATTAGTGTAACCTTGAGGTAAATGCACGTGTTCTTGAGAGGAGTTTGCGCGAATAGGAGTTTTAAAGTGTATGTAAAGCCTTCTTATGTAGCAAGTTTTAAGAAATGATGTTTAAGTGCTAAATTTGGTGATTAAACTTCACTTAAGAATAATAGATTATCAAAGCATTATGGTAAGGGGGATTAGAATGTTCAAAAAATGAGCTTTGATGTAACAATAAAATGATTCATTATGTTGTGTGTGGGGAATAAGTGACATTTGACAAGAGAAAAAAAAAAGGTTAAGTTATATCTCATTGGTGTGATCGAGATCAAATTCATACATTTAAGGGGAAGTCATTATGAAAGATGTCAAGTCGTAAGGATTATCTTTAAACTGAGGCCTCTTACCTTTTGTTAGGAAAGTAACTTGATAAAGCTAAAGGCTGTGTTGAGATGCCTCCATGTGCAACTGGAAAGAAGGCTAATACATGGAAACGAGTCATGTTTTACACTTCTTCTCCTGGTTTTGAGGATTAGCCTTTTGCCTTCTACACTCTTTTGTCTCGTGTCCCCTCAGTTTTGGTTTCCTTGGGGTCTATCTGATATATTGGAGAACACACAATGGGAATGGCTTGTTGTTGGCTCAACTAGTTATCGGAAAAATCGGCATTGATATGCACTAGTGCATTGTAATGTATGGGCAGATTATGATGATATGACTTTGACGTAAATATACATGGGTATTATGTGCTTGCATACAGTTGCATTCAAATACATTCATTTAACTGAATATATAGTTTATTCAATTAATACATGGAAGACCATTTGTGTCAATCGGTTGGAACAAATCTCAAGTCCTTAAATCAAGTTGGGCTGCAAAGTGTATGCAAGATGAGCAAGTTTGAGGAAAATACATTGATAAGCTAAGTTTAAGCACTAATTTAGACATTTACTGACAATTGATAGTTGTAAAGGTTTTTTTTTATTGCAATGATGATTGGACTGTCAGGTGTGTTGGGTTGATTAGTGGTACATCAACGTGTTCATATTTTTTTGAACATTTTTTAAATTATATACTTTTTTTTTTAATTTTGGCATTTTATGTAGACAATTTATTGTTAATAGTGATAAAGTCGTGTTAATGATTAATGCTAATGTCGATGCGTAGTTGAAATCTAAGTAACAATTTATAAATACCAAATATACTTCATAAAATATTGATATATAATTTTAATTAAACTAATATTGTTTTATTGGTACATAAACTTTTTATGTGATATATAAGATTTTATATTTCAATTTTTAATACTTTTTGATAAAAAATTTATAAATCAATAATTTTGATAGCACAATTTTTATTAATTATTTATAAAAACATATCACCTGTATAATAAATTGTCCTACTTATTGTTATGTCGTGACCTTGTGTCTTTTTAAATGTTTCATGTTGATGTTTCTGCCTTGTAACTTGTAGTGGTGTAAGTTCAACGTAAAACAAAGTTATTTACATTTAAAAATGCTTCCCATAGTTTTATTGAACGGGTACATCTTGATAACATGCAAGTCACTTATTAGTATAAGCATGTTAAACTTTGAGCTTGAAGAATAAAGCCCCAAAACTTGATCTATTTAATGTGAAGCAAATAAGAGTGTCATGCCTTTTAGTAAGAGAAGTGAAGAATAAACCCCAAGACTCGTATCTACTCAATGTGATGCAAGCATGGAGGGTCATACCTTCAAGAGAGAAGATTATGTGCTTAATTCGTTTAATTGTCATCCACCATGAAATCAAGATAATAACATGGCAATGGAGGTATGTAGAAATGATGACATCACAACCAATTCTCGATAGTTGACCAATTACTAATAAGGTCTATGTAAACTAAATTGTAAGGAAAGGAGGACTGGCAAACATCTAGGGATCCATAGGAAAGATAGTGGAAAGACTTGCAAAATCAACCATTGCCTTAAGGTTTTGACAATGCATATTTGATTTAGGATTTATATAACCCATTTAATCAATCAATGATAGAAATAACATCATACAAACCATTTTAGGCGAAGATGTTACAAGAAGATGCGTTTTCGGAATTTAAACTCCATCCATTTGTACAAGAACTTAACACCTAACCAGCACAAATTATTTCAAAGTTTATATGAAAGAAGTTATACGAAAAATTGTTGCAATTTGAATTAATTTTGGAGGTGTCAACCTAAACTCGAAGTGAGTTAGAAATTAGTTTTGGTTTGTGAAACTAGCTTATGAATCAAGTTAAAGTTATTTAAATTGATTTCACGTGGCTTCAAATTCAAGTGATTTCCAAGTGAGTATTGAGGTTTAATATTAATTCTATGTATGGGTACTAAAAACGCTTAAGAGGTTGAGGAGTGATCCCTCCATTCGGGCTTTTTTGTAGTTTATGGACTAGTTGAATATTTTATTTTCATAAGCATACTATTTCACATTTTCATAAATTTGTCCTTCACATAAAACAGGAGAATCTTGGGTTTAAATTAGATTTTGGGGATCTTGGTTTCCCGTGAGTGCATGTTTCCATGGTTGGTTATATTTTAGGTGTGAAACTCAAAAAAATATCAGTTAAGCACATTACATGTTCTCTAGATTGGTGGTGATTAAATTCAGTTTTGATTTGATAGTATGTTTGGGAGATGAGTGGTCAACTTGATGAAGCTGCTATTGTTTCATTGTCCTGAGTGAAGTTAGTGGTCCTAGTGTACCATTGACAAAGGTCTTGACGATCATATCATTAAGGGAATGAGATTAATAGTAGTACTTGAGACTCATTGATTTGGCACATGCATGGCTTGAAATATTTAAAGCTCCACAGACGAGCATAAAATGAGTTCAATAAGGCAAAATAAATGAAGAGAGCATAATATTAAGTAACAAAAGTTTTACTTCTTTGTAAGTGGTTCATATAACTTAATAACTAAGACCCATATAAGAGAGGTATAAAAAGCTAAAACGAAGGACTTAGGTTAGCTATTTAACATTTCCTCAATTTACTATAAGTTAGTTGCGAAAATATATGAGATTGAACCTCAACCCCGAATTTGACCCACCTTATTATAAATAGGACAAGTCAACCCCGAATTTGACCCACCTTATTATAAATAGGTCAAGTTTGTAATTTGCTCAAATTTTTTGATCTATAAACTGTTAGTTAGATCGACACTCAAATGAAGTCTAGTCTTATAACAAGCCTATTAGTACAGATTAATTTAATGTATTTAGCTTGATTTAAAGATGATCAAGATTTCCAATGGATTTTGAAATAGACAAAGGTTCATGAGCATTTGCATTGCTTTCATGATTTGCTTGATTGATTAATCACTTATTGATTTGTGGGATTGGTATTTGATTAACCATTTTGTGATCAACTTGTTGAATGCTTGATCTCACCTTTTCTTAGATTTGTTTTGGGTTAATTAATCAATTGTTAGAATTAAAAAAAGAAGAATAAGTTGTTAGAATTTTTTTAATTTGCCTTAAATCAAAATGCTTAGGGCGCACACATTCTTCATAGTCTTGCTTGCATGCTCTACTTACTAAGTGCATGTCTTATTAGGGCAGAGGATCTGGCTGAAGATTATAGAGATCATATAGGTTAAACCCTGAAGGCATGGCTAAGCACCATCCAGATCTGATAATGTGCAGGAAGCAACCTGGGATTGCAATCGGACGGCTTTGTGAAAAATGTGATGGAAAATGTGTGATCTGTGACTCTTACGTGCGGCCTTGCACGCTTGTTCGTGTATGCGATGAGTGCAACTATGGGTCTTTTCAGGGCCGATGCGTCATCTGCGGTGGTGTCGGCATCTCTGATGCCTACTATTGCAAGGAATGCACACAGCAGGAGAAGGATAGGGATGGCTGCCCCAAAATTGTCAATCTTGGAAGTGCTAAGACTGATTTGTTTTACGAAAGGAAAAAATATGGTTTCAAGAAAAGGTGACTGCGATGCCTCTGTATGTATTATTTCTACTAACTTCAAACTTTCTTGGACTTCAGTGTTTGTTTCAACTTTCTATGCGATTATGTTTCTGTTTGTTTGGATTTTATATATCAAATTAATTTCTTTGCAGTTGTTCTTACTGTTTGATGGTTAGATTGAATGCAGCGAATGATGCTATGCTGTGTGATAAGAAGCATCTTCCTCAACTTTCATGTCCTATGAACATATAGAAAGGGATGCGGGCGATGTTTTGTAATGTGGGGAGAGTAGAGCTATCAGCCCTCCTATTTGTTTTTTCACTCAGCAGATCAAACAAGTAATTTTTCCTTAAGGGCTTAATTGGGCATTTCAAGCCAAATGGCCATTTCATTGCATGAGACCACCCCATTGGTCTCCAATCACTCATTTGAACTTGTTGGACTCAAATCCAACCCCAACCATGGTTGACCAAAATGAACCATACACCCGGCTTGAATTAAATTCATTGATAAGCCTTTTTAAGCCAAATTGGCCACCTCAAATTCTTCAATTGGACATTCCAATTATGTCCAATACTTTCCTAAGTCAAATCTCTCTTGATTTTACTTGGTCAAAACCCACTACATTTTCATGTATTTGACCAAGACTCTGATCCCATGATTCCAAATATTTGGCCACTCACCCAAATAGCTAAATGCACTTCCTTGGATGCCACCTCAACTCCATTGATTGGGTTGACCAATCAAATGGTCAAATAAGCTTTCAAATGACTTGAAATGGTCAAGCCACATAAGCAAGCTTTCTCTCCACCAGATACTACCCAATCTCACTCTAAACCAGCTCATTCCACTCCCAAAGAAACCTTAGTGTAGCCCCTAAACACATGCATAAGCCATGGTTTAGCCTAATAGGGAAAAAGGGTGTGGTCCCCCATCCCATGAATTAAGAGAGGTCTCACTCAAGCACCAACCTTCTCCCTAGTTCTCATGTGCTTTGGGACACATGCCAACCATCCAAGATAAAAAACAATTCAATCTGAACCCTTCATTCTAAAAGCTAGGGTTCAAGTAGCCTAAAACATCCAAAAACCCACATTCACTCCAACACATTCTCTCAACAGCCTCAACTCTCAAAACCTCTCCCACAGCTTCTCCACCAACCTCTACCTCATTAAAGCATTTCCTCACCAAATCTCAGCCTCCAAACATCATTTGGTGAAGAGAGAGGGAGTTAGAGAGAGAAAAGTGGTGTTTTGAACACAACTTTAAATCTAGCCATAACTAGGTCTTGAGGTCTTCTATATGGTTTAAGAGGATCTCTACAGCTTTCCAACAGGCCTAAGAACTTAAAAATCTACCCATCAAACATTGATTTCTTCAAAATCCCAATACATGGAGCCTTGAAACTTCATGGATTGAAATATTAGGGTATATATATCCTACATTTCAAATTGCATCAAATTTGAATGGACGGATCGAAAGTTATGAGTATTTCAAGTTTTAGTTCATTTTTTTAACTACAGAAAATCTCATGATTTGGAACGTCTAATCGCATGTGTATTGCAATCAGACGGTGTAGATCACGCTGGGTGAACGAACCATCCGATCGGATCCCATGTGTGATCCAGATTGGATGATGTGGCACGATCATGGCTAGCCGTCTGATTCGCATGGATTGGACGACCCAGATCACCCGCTGATGTGGCAAGGGGATGACCCACGGTGCGCCATGTGTCCAACGCACACCGTCGAGTCGTTGTTTATGTGTTACATGTCCATTTGCTAGCGCGCCATGTGTTCTACTGCTATTTTGAATCTCTACCAAATTGAGTGTTCTTAGGCTCGATAGAAAGGTTTGGAGCTCTAGTTTTTTTTTATATATAATTTCAAAAATTGTTGTCTATTGAATTATGAGTAAAATATCATTGTTTGAAAACCTATTTAATTTTCTCATAATTTATTGGTCAAAATTAACTCAACTTTGATGGTGGATATTTGAGTATGTTGTTTACCTTCCATAATTTTCTTGAGTCTTGGTTTGCTCTGGAATTTTGTTAGTTAAATTTTCAAAGTTATGTATCCATTTTGGACCCATAACTTTAAAAATTCATAATTGTCTACATCGGTAAAATTTTCTTGTAATCTTTCTATGGTGTGTTTGCATGTGTGTGAGGGTTAGATGAATCAAATTTTAGACTTATTGGAATATTAGAGACACCTAAAAAATAATTAAGGATTTAACTAAAAACTTAGAAAAATTCTAGAAAATTACAAACACACCTAATAGGGTGTTAGACTCTAGGAAATTGAACATAGTAATATTATAAACCTAAGGTTTTTAATTTCACTGAATTTTGAGGATCTAAGAAAATTAAAAGACCTTTTATTGGACTTTAATTTTTATCTTAATTTAATGATTAAGAAAAAATAATAATTAATTAAAATAAATAACTAAAATTTATTAAAAATACCAAATAAATTCTAAACTCTTGAAAACACTCCTCCATGTCATCCATGACCTTTGGAAGTGATTTCAAATAGTTTAGAGTGATTTTGGTGCAAAAATAACAAAATCTCCTTAACTAACAAATTAAATAATTCAATTAAATGACAAAACTAAAAAATCATTACTAAATCTAAAAATTTCAAATTGAGCAAATTCAAAGGAATTAGATTCCTTTAGGGTTTCATATGTATTAAAAATATCAAATTTTCATAAATCATTCAAAATCTTAAAAAACATACTTAAATTTTGAAAAATCATAACAAATACTAAAAAAATCCAAATCCAATAAATTTAGTGTCATTTTACTCAGCTTAAGGTCTAGTTAAAAAAAATAATTAAATCTTTGGAACTTAATTAAAGTCAAAAAGCCAAAAAAATAAACCATTTTTAATGAACTAAAATAGGTCATAAAATCCAAAAATTAAATAAATGACTAAAATTTCAATGAAATATCAATTTAATCAATATAATCTGATAATCAACCCTAAACTACAAAACAAAACACTCCAATGATGAAGCTTTTAAGATGGAAAACCATGAGATGCGAGGCTACAGAGCAACTACATCAATCAGATTTTTAAGATGAACTACCTCGAGCTACTAGGCTACGTGACCAAATGAGGTCTGGTTCCTCGAGCCCGTTGTGACAACACCATAAACTAGTTGATGATAAACATATATTATTAATATAATGAGTCAAATAAATAATGAATTAATTAAAAATTATAAACCCTTAATTTGAACTAATTAAACCAATTAAATAATATTAGTTACTACTGGGTAACCCGGGCCTACGAGACTGTTAAGTTAACTCCAAGAAATGTGAAATAAACTTCACGGCATGGTATTAACAAAAATAGTAGTCACTCAACAATTAAAATTCATCCTAAAATGAACATCAAGGAACTAATACTTTAACTTGAATTAATTCTCCTTTGACCCACAACAAATAAAAGTCACTAAAAAACTTCAACAACTATCCAACATATGACACATAGACTGATGGACACACTTTAGATAATTTGTTAGGATAACCGCTTATAGTTTTTTACTAGATCGATGTTCTTTCCTTTTTCGCTACTTGTGTGCCAATATTTTTCTTGGATTTCATTACATGATGGTTGTAATGAGTTGATTGATATGATGCCTGCTGATGTGTTGATTTCTACCATGTGATATGTGATATGGATTGATGGGCGTTAGATTTCTCTTAGGTTAGGAGCAATTTGGATGTTAATAAAATTTTTTGTAGATGGTCATGCTCATGTAAGGCTATAAAAAAGGGGCTAAATTAAATTTTAACTAATAAATTTTCTGCAGGTACTAAAAATTGTTAAGCCCCCCAAAAATAAAAGAGCATGACCAAGTGATCATGATTGGCTCAAATTTAAGCAAATATAATTATATAACTGATTGGGATGATTATATAATTTTGATTATAACTGCTTAATATAATATATAGGTTGTCTAGAGTCCTGATTTTTTATATGTATTTTAAATTATTGAGTTGTGAAAGTTATTTTTAAAAGGGATATTATCTACCAATTTGAAGTCCAAAGAGGAGGAAAACATCCCTTAGGATGGAGTTTTAAAAGTTTGATAAGGATGTTAAGCCTAAGTGAACTTGTCCCTAGGCACACCAAGAGGGAGGGGGGGGGGGGGGGGGGGGTGAATTGGTGAATTTAAAAACTAATTGTTGAATTTAAAAACAAAGATAATATTTTTTGATTTTTTAAATATTTGAAAAAAAAGTAGCAATAATTACTAAGTGCAAAAGCAAAATGAATTCAACAAAATATCTAAGCAATGATTTCACAATTTTCACCAAGCAGTTATAATAAATTTAAAATGCAAAAATAAAATGAAGAAAATAGAAATTAGAACAAACACACTAGAGATTTATAATAGTTTGATCAAATAATAACCTACGTCCACTCCCCAAAGTCCTCTACTCCGAGTATTGCACTATTACTATAATATTTCTCATTTTGTCTCCACAGCAAGGCAGAGAAGCCCTTACACGAAACACTTCCACCAGACCCGGTGCGGCGGAGAGCCGGAAGCTTTGTCACCCTCCAAGCGACGATAGTGAACCTTCAATCTTTTTCTCCATCCTGGAGAAGGCAGAGTATCTTGATCTCCTTTATCACCATCCTGATTATGGAAGAGAACCACGTCCTTGAGCTGAAGAGTTTTTCCTCAAAGCCATCCAAGAAACCTAGATAGACACTTGGAGGAACAAGGCAAGACACATTGCTTGGAGCAACCATGTGAACCCCTCACACTACTTCTCCCTCACACTCAAGTTCTCCCTCTTCTTCCTAAAGCTCTTCTAGAATTTCTTCTCAAAGCTCCCACTAAAGAACACTCAGCAGCCAAAGACTTGAAATAAGTCTCTTAAGAGAAATATAAGGCCTCACAAAAAGCCCTAAATTTAATTCTATAGATAATGATCATCCAATATGATCATGGATCGTCTGACACGATTAGTTCAAAGTACTCCTGTTAGTACTGTATGAAGAGCTATGTGATGATGATCAGTTTAAGGAATTGAGTTGATTGTCCAAGCCGATTCAAATCATCATCCAGTACAATTAGTTCAAACGACTTTGATTATCATCCAGTATGATTGGCGATGATTTAATTATAATCCCA